CCCCGATTAAACACAGTTCTCCACCTATGCCGGGCCTGCCTCTTCCTCACAGTTTAATGTGGCTGGAGAAAACACACACGTGTCGACTAATCTTCCTTTCTGACCATTCACGACCATGGACTTCCAATGGGCATGGGTCCCATGCTGTACTTATATTTGTCATTCTCCTACTTATCTCAATGGCTATTTCATAGATTTTCCTCTGTCCTCAACCCCTAATGCTCCCTCCCCGCCCTCACTCTCTGCCGATGACTTTTTGTCCTAATTCACTGAGAAAACCGAAGCAACAGTTGAGCACATACACCATGACAGCTCTCTACCACCCAGACATTGCACCTACCCTGACGCATAGCCTTCCTTCCATGACAATGGATGACCCAGCCACCAGCCCACTTGTGCATGAAATCCCATTCTCCTCCTCACTTGCCTATTCAAGAACATCACTCTGGCAATGGTCCCTTCTCCTTCTAACATCCTCAAGGTTTTCCTCAGCGTATAGACATGCTGTTATTTTCCCCCCACCTTCTATTACCTTTTACCACCCTTTTTCTCCCTTTTGGAGCAGTATTCTGCAAAATGTTGCCTGCACGAACATTTTATAAATCCTTTCCTCCCACTTTCTCCTCAACCCATTTCGGGCAGGCTTCTGTCTCCATCACTCCCTTGAAAATGCTCTTGTCAGAGTCCCCCAGGACCCCCATGTTGCTAAACCCCCTTCAGGGCTCAATCTATGTCGTCTTTGACCTGTCAGCACCTTTGATGTGATCATCATTTCTTTTCCTGGATATAATTTTCATTGATGTCTAGAACATCACACTCTCTTCATTTTTCCCCTTTTCTCTGGTCTTCCCTTTGAGTTTTTCTTTGCTGGTCCTTTTTTTGTCTCTCTGACTAGTTAATATTGAAATGCCTTGGCTCAGGTTTGGTCCTTTTCTCTACCTTTTCCTTGGTGATCTCAACCAGTGTCATGAATCCGATGTGGATTTCAGGCTCAAAGCACTTTCCTGAACTCAAGATTCTAACGTCTGACTGCCTATTTGACATTTTCATGTAGATATGTACTTGATGTCCCAAACTCCACACGTCCAGAATAAAAACTCCTTATCTGCCCCCTCCCTTCAAAGTATCAACTCCACCCACAGCCTATCTCATTTCAGTTGGTGGCTGCTCCATTTCTCATGTGCTCAGGGCCAAAGACTTGGGAGTATTTCTTTCTCAGATGCCCCACATCCGGTCTGTCAGGAAATCCTGTTGGTTCCGTCATAACGGTGTTTCCAGACTCCAACCACGTGTCCCAGTCTCCACTGCCAACCCCACGTGGCAGCCACCGCCATGGGTCACCTGCACCCCTGCTTCCAGCCTTGCCCTCCTGGCCCCGCCCTGCCCAGCCTGTCCTTAACACAAGAGCCAAGACAGATTCTTAACAAGGTCCTTCAGATGGTATCAGCTGTCTGCTGTGACAAAGTGCTGCAGTGATTTCAAGCTGTAGACGTGTGCAGTGACCGCAAGGGTCCAGTCTGACCCATGCCTCCCTGTGTACCTTCCTGCTCTCATCGCCGACTACTTTCTCTTGCTCACTCCCTCGGCCTCTTTTCCGAACCTCACACTCATAGGCATGCTTGCTGCCTTGGTGCCTTTGCTCTAGCTCTTCCCTCTGCTTCAGATGCTCTTTACTCAGGTATCCTTGGGGCGCATTCCCTTGCTGCCTGTCCATCTTTGATCTGATTTTATTCTCACTGAACTCGACCCTGACAACCTACTCCAAATCGCAGCCGCGTCCTTCATGCCCTATTCTGTGTTTCCTTTTTCCTTACATCACTTATCTCTCCCTAATGAAACATATAATTAACTAGTTTACCTATATTATAAGTGGTCTGTCTTTCCCTCTAAAATCAAGGTAGTTTGTCCTCTGCATTCATCGATGTATCCCAAGGTCAGAGATAAATACCTAGCACATAGTAAGTACTCAATAAATATTTGTTACATGAGTACAGGGCAACAATGCTGTCTTCCATTCTTTTTTTTTTTTTTGAAGACTTTTTTTAAAATTTGAGACAGAGAGAGAAAGAGAGCACAAGTGTGTGGGGGGAAACAGAGGGAGAGGGAGAAGCAGACTCCCCGCGGAGCAAGGAGCCTGACGCGGGACTCGATCCCAGGACCCTGGGATCATGACTTGAGCAGAAGGCAGACACTTAACGACTGAGTCACCCAGGCACCCCACTGTCTTCCATTCTTTATAGTCACATGAGCATGCGGCATTGGTCTTCCCTCATTTTTTGTTTTTTTGTGTGTGAACAGATGAATGTGTTTACCAAATTAACCGAGACTTAAAACCCTTCCTCTCTGCTAAACCTTGTAAAATTGACTTCAAACGTGTGACTGGGCGAGTAAATAATTAAGCAGAATAAAACAAGACAAAACAGCAGTGTGTTAGATTATATTTCCTCGTCGGGAAGGACTATAGTGTTGGTATGGAGTGCAAGATGTGTACAATTATTTTCACAAGTCACTCCAGAATTACAGCTCTGGGAGCTGCCCAGCTGTGTTGATTTGTCAGCTCTTCCCGATGTCTTACCCCGGGCCGGTGATATCCTGCTAGCGTAGAGGTGTTGCCATAAGGTCAACAACCATCCTGCGGTGACACCCAACCACAAGATGGCAAAAAAAAATCCCTGCGTAAACTTTGTGAGCCACTTGAGCACAAGGCCGAGATTCAGTCCTTTTTTGATCCTGGGTCCAGGCCCCCAGATGACTGAAGGACAAACCAAAGATGCTGACTGAGAGCGCATTTCATGATCACACGCAATTAGTATGCCAGGATTAAACACTGTTTGCCTATTTGTATCTCTCTCTCTGTGTCAAATAAATAAATAAAATCTTAAAAAAAAAATTAAACACTGTTTTCCTGGTTCTCCAAAAATATGATATAAAAGGAAGTGGGTAATTTATTTCATCCCTAGATTTGTCTTCTCAGAAAGTAATTAACCTGGTTTCAGCCACTTCCCTCTATCAGGTATTTTGTGAAAATCAAATGAGATAATGGATGTGAAAGAGCTTGAGTTCTGTTTCACACAAGAAATTTGAAAGACCTGTTTTTAAAGTGTCAGTAGAGCAGTGGATTTTTCTTATTCACACGGGGTGAGTCGGTTACTTCCTATAGGAAGGGGCTACTCGTCTGTTTCTGGCTTCCCTCCTCCCTCTGCCCACCTTGGGTTGTGAGGTCAATTTTCATGGCCACACGTATGACATTTACCTGAAGCAAGTCACCTAACCTCTCAGAACCTCAATTTCTTCACCCTAAAATAAGAGTAATATCTTTCACAGGAAGAGATTGTCAGGATTGAATGAGATCATGTGTAGGAAATACTTTGGTAAACCTGAAAGTACCAGGTAAACAATACTTACCATAATGTTACCATCATTAATACTAATTAATTATAGTAATTGTTAACTTTGAGCCCTGGCTAAAGAGAAAAGAGTATTTTACCTTCTCAGGTTTCTTTGACCTGCACTGAGTTTTGACCCACACACGTGCATGCGCACCCCCACACATATATTTCTGGTAAAATTACTGGTCCACGGAACTAGCAAGTGGCAGGTTGAATGCTTCCAAAGCTGCTATAAAAACTGGATTCTTCACTGTTAACCCAGGAGACCGTATCAGTTCTTTTGTGGGTGGCAAAGCTGTAAAAGTTCCCTTTGCGGCCACACTGGCCTCCATGATCGTCATTTTGCTTGCAGCTTTGGACGGGCTCCTGCTGCATTCCACCATGCTGGGCAGGAGCATTCAGGGTACAGGCTTAGTCTTTCTTGACGGGTGCCCGCCAGGGTGGTTGGGCAGGGCGGTGGACGTCCACTGCACCCCAGATGAGAATCAAACACCCTGCATATGTGGAGACTTGCTGTGAAATCCTCGCTGCTTACTCAGGTAGCTCTGTAAGGGCCTTATTAACACCTCCAGCACCCTTGGTATTGCTCAGGCTCTGGTCAGTAAGTAATTTTATTTGAACAATGTGGAGTATGGGATACAACTCAAAAGGATGTAGGGAATCTAAGAGGCTTTGAAGCCCTGAGATAATATAGACAAAGAAGATGATTCTAAGAAGAGAGCAATAAGGAGGGTTTGCTGTAATTAAAATCGTGCATATGAGTCAGATCGTATGTAACAGGAGGATTCGATTTCATATGTTATTATTGAAAAAAAGGCATTCCTGTTGAATGTACTCTCATAGAATCCTGCTTAATGCTTAAATAAATGCTAGTTTTTTCTTTTAAAGATTTATATGTTGTATATCATAAAGCAATCATCTGGATAATGAAATAATTTAAATAATTGAATTTACAGAATTTAATTGCAGTGAATATTTATGTCAAGACCATAGCAGATTTTGAGTTTTGTGGGGAGGTCAGTAAATACATAACTATTTTAAAAAGGATGGCACAAATAACTTTACATTTTATGTATCTTGGTTTTAATTTTCGCTTTAATAAAATGGAGTTGAAATTGGGAGTGTGTGATCTTCACATTCTTCATTGCCTTGAATTAGAAAAAAATAGAATTTGTTACTTATGAAATTCTCAAATAATGTTTTAATTAACAGTGATTTATTTCAAAACACAGCTGTTCATGTCTGTAGAAGTAACCTTTTCTGTTGTAAATGAAATGAACAGTCAGTAGTTTATACGAAGCCAGGTATTTGGTTGCTTCTACTGTTTACCAACATAGAATTTTGGAATTTGCCAATTTGGGCTTAGTCACCAGACAGGCCTGGTTCAAATCCTGGCTGTCTTGCACCTGCTATGGGGCCTGGGCAGCTTACCCAAATGCTGCTAACCCTACCCCATAGGATTGTTATGAGGATGTAATGTGATAGATATATTAAGTGACTAATAGAGAGCCCATGAAAAAGTAAGTGCTCCATGAATATTAATTTCCTCCCTTTCTTCTTGTCCACTTGCGTTTTTAATGGATCATTTCCTTACCCTGGATTGTATTGTAGGAAATATTCTGGATGGATGGCTGCTGGAAATCCATTGCCATAGCCCGCTCTTCTTCAGTACTTAAGGATTTACCCTGGCATTGAGTAATGAGAATTTCGGTAAGAAAAATTAGAGAAAGATAGTACATGGACTTTTCATAAAAGGTCACTTGAATCTCAGATACTTCATAGTAAGTTCTATGACTCTTCTCCAAAGACCTTGAGATGTCACAGATCTCTGGTCACGTATGGATTATTCTTATTTTGAAAGTAAATAGACACAGGTCTTTTAACTCTACTCACATCAGGTGCTCTTCATGTCATTGTAAATGTATTATTTCACTTACCTTATTTTGTTCTTTGACTTTTCATCTCATCAGTGAATTGTCTAGTCTTTGATGACAATGTCTGGATATTATTCATCTCTTTAGTGTAGACTAAATGAAGCACAGATTCTTAGTGTTTAGGGTACTTTCTGAAACTGTAAAGGTTTTGACAGTGTGAGAGAGGCAGGCAAAAGTATCAAAACTGAGAAATTCTAAGATAAGTATGTTCCTAAATCACCAAGAGAAGTTATTATATATTGCTTGTTATGATGGCATAGAGTATCTTTAGTTGGGTCTATTTTTATCCATTCTTTTCCTCCAAATGATACCAATATATAATTAATTTTCATTTGAAATTAATTCATGTGAAATTAATATATAACTAGTACACCTGTATTAGTAACTCATGTTATTAATCTGTGCTATATGAAATATGTTGAACTATTATTGTCAACCACACCCAAATAAAAAAATGAACATGCCATGGAGAATTAAGAGCAATCCAACAAATATATGCTGAACTATTCAAAAGGAAAAAAAAAAAGATGAGAGGGAGGATAAAGATAATAGAAACAAAGTAAGTGATGATATTAGTATATATGTAAATTAGTGAATATGTGAACTTTCTTACAATTATTGTCACTGAAATGCACCTGGAGAAATACATATTAAAGAATTTTACTCATAGAAGACAGAGCTGGAGGTGCCGACAAAGCAAGAAGGATAAATTCTAGCTTCATTAATTCTAAAAAAGAGCATTAATTCTGAAATTGTGATAAACTTAACTTTTGGAATCTAAAAATATGATAAAATATTATTTTAAGTATCATTTTTTAACTAAAAGAAGTTTTAACCACTTTGCCTGTGATGATATTTTTTAGAAACCACATTTGAGAAGTACTTCCATCCAGTGCTACCTGTGTTTACTTTTGAACAGTCATTTTCTAACTGAGGCTGGCATTCATGTCTTCATTTTGGGGTAAGTTTATCTTTCAGCATAAATATCATCATGTTAATGGCCTTGATCATTGTTCTTCAGTATCTTTTCTTTTAAACTGCTTTATGTTCAGTTTGCTTAAGTCCTTAGGAACTAAGTATTTGGGGTAAGATAGAGGGCAGATTACGGAGATTCCGAGGAGGTTTGGTAAACACCCAAATGAGCATTTCTACATTTGGGTATTATTCCAAATGAGTGTTATATCTTTCCAATAAATTAGACCTCTTGGTATTTAACTAAACTCGGAAGTCCATTCCTTATTAATAGCTTACATGATTTTCACAGCAGTAAAATACAGATATTTAGGGCTTGTCCATGTTACTTTTTTATCTATCCCTGACACTGCCATCGCCCATCCTCTGAGCCCTACCCTACTTCAGTTTGAAATGTTTCTTTCTTTACTTAGGCCTTTCGTTTTTCCTCCTAATAGACATTCATCTATTTCCATGCTTATTAACTTTTTTATTCTCTCTTAGATGTAGCTAATTCACTGCACACAGTTGGCCCAAAGCACCCAGCCTGTAGTTACGTAATATGACCCTCAGCTCAGTTTTCCTTACTAATGCCTTCATGGTGTGGGGAACCAGAGATGTGTGCAGGTGCATCTTCCTCACAGGGAAGATTAGTGTTGGATCTCTTGCTTCCGTACAATATCCATCAGGGAGCAACTATTTTTCCTCAAGCTTGAAGAACCATTCCACAGTCACTTGGTCAGTGTATGAGCCTTTTGTCCTGATGTTAAATTTCAGTTTTACCAAAATGAGTAAGTGTATGATCGTTCAGACTAGATTGGTCTCCAGTCTGTAATATTTCTGAAGAAAGCTACTGCAGGCCTAGTCACAGTGTGAGCAGTGTGCAAAGGGGTGTGTTTAATCTATGGTAAAGAATATGTACTATCAAAATCTGTACATGAAAACGATTAGTGCTTATTTTAAGAATTTTACCCATTTATTGGACTTAAAAGTCGGACGGAACCTCTACTTAAAGAAAACTCGGAATTCATTCAAAAACATTTACTGAGCACTACCACACATCTGGTGTTGTGTTTATTCCATTGTAATAAATTACACCAGGTTATTTATAAGTTGTCCTTCCAAATTAGGTTTTTCTCTAATCCCGGTAGGTCAGTCCTTAAGTTAACCTCAAGTGTCAAGGGGTTGTACTGTATGTTTGCTGTTTATATTCATCTGTTGAATGCACAAAGGCAAGGATAACACTTATCTTTTCACTGATCAAAATAAAAAAGATCTTGATTGCTCTTTTGCCTGTAATAGTCATCAAGCCAGTATTATTATGCTCATTAAAAATGTTTTGCTCTTTGGTTTTGCTTTCAGCAGTATCAGTGCAGGTCTTCCTAAAACAGAGGCAACCTGGCAGTTTGTAATAAGTGATTTGGAAAAAATTGACAATATTATTCAAGTGAGTACTCATTTTTCTATAAACTATCTGGTATGATTGCTATGGAGTATGCCTCTCCCTATGTTCTGCTGTCAGTCTTAATGAAATCTCACTTGAAACAATATTTTTGTAGAAATTCATGAGCCTTAAATGAAATCTTTTACTTACAATTTTCAGATCTTAATTATCTTTAAAACTCAATTTATAAGTGGCCTGGTATGAAGAGCTCTCTGTCACCACAGTCCAGAGACTCCCGTCTCCAGCAAAGAAACTGGGCAGCTTGGCCGCTTTTGTAGGGAGCATGGCCTGACCCAGGGAGGAGCTCTCTGTCCTGTGGCTAAGGAACCCCCTCCCTCACCTGAAGACACCAGCTGGCCTGGCAGAACCTGCAAGGGGAAAGAGAGCAGGAGCCCAGGGAATTGCCTTTCACCGCAGGGGGTGACACAGCAGGGACCGGTGGGAGTCCCAGGGGCGCCAGGTGAACCAGGCATTTCAAATTAGCACCACAAAGATTCTGAAAGCTACACTGTCATTAAAACTGCAGCTTACAAACAGAAGTCTGAACCTAAACCTAAATAGGGTGGATGCGTGCTGGTATAGAATATTTAAATGGAACCCGGGTCTCGTAACATAAAGCTAAAATACCAGAATACAGCTGAAACTCACTCATTATGCCAAGAAGCAAGAACATCACAACTTGACTGAGAAACAACTCTGAAACAGACTTTGAAACAGAGATGGATTGGATGTTGGAATTATTTGACAAGGATTTTAAAGCAGCCATCATACAAATGTGCCAACAAGCAATTACAGATGCCCTTGAAACAACTGGATAAAACAAAGTCTCAGCAAAGAAATACAATATGTAAAAGGAACCAAGTGGAAATGATAGAACTGAAAAATACAATAACTGAAATACAAAGCAAACTGGAGAGATTCACGAACAGAATGAATATGACAGAGGAAAGACAGTGAACTTGAAGATAGAATAATAGAAAACACGCTGAAAAAAAAGCCTCAGGGATCTTTGGTATGATAAAAGATCCAGCATTCTTTTTTTTATTTTATTTTTAAAAAATTTATTAGAGAGAGAGAGGAAGGGCAAGCGGTGGGAGGAGCAGAAGTAGAGGGACAAGTAGACTCTGTGTTGAGACTGGAGCCTGTCGCGGGGCTTGATCTCATGACCTTGAGATCATGACCTGAGCTGAAATCAAGAGCCTGACGTTTGACTGACTGAGCCTCCCAGGCACCCAAGATCCAGCATTCTTAGCATTAGTGTCCCAGAAGGAGAGGGGAAAGAGAATACAAGTAAAAGACAGAGATTGGCCAAATTGATAACAAAACACAAACCAGTATTTTGCTGTCTACAAGGAATTCACCTCAAACATAATGATATAAGTAGGTTGAAATTGAAAAGAGAAAAAAGAATATACCATATTGTAATGGGTTGTTGAATGGTGCCCCTCCCCCCCCAAAAATTCACGTCTACTCAGAACCTCCAAATGTGACCTTCTTTGGAAATAGGGTCTTTGCAAATACAATTAGTTAAGGTGAGGTCCTACTGGGGTGGGTTGGACCCTAACTCCACGACTAGCTGTCCTTCTAAGAAGAGGACAGACCACAGAGAGAGTGACAGGGAAGAAGGCCATGTGAAATTGGAGGCAGCTACAAGGCAAAGGAAACTAAAATAATGCAGCTAGAAGCCACAGAAGACCCAGGATTGCCTGAGTCACTAGAGACTTGGGAGAGGTAAAGAAGGATTGTCTTAGAGCCCTCAGAGGGATCATGGCCCTACTGACATCTTGATTTTGGACCTCTAGGTTCCAGAGTTGTAAGAGAATAAGTTGTTGTTGTTTTAAGCCCTCATTTCGATATTTTGTTACTGTAGCTCTAGGAAGCTGATACACATACAGACAATAATTTCAAAAATCAGAAGTAGCTCTCTTAGTATCAGATAAAGTAGACTTTACAACAGGTAAAATTACTAGAATCAAGAGATCCATTACAAAATGGTGAGAGATTAATCCACCAGGAAAACGTGATCTTAAATGTGTACACGCCAAACAGCAGAGCCTCAAAATACAAGATGCAAAAACTAATCAAACTGAAAGGAGAAAGAGGCAAATTCACAATTATAGTTGAGGACTTCACCACCTCCTAAGGAACAAACTGAACGACAAGAGAGAAAATCAGAAAGGATATAGAAGAACTGGACAACACAGTCAGCCAAAAATATCTAATTTATATAGATGAAACATTTCACTCACCGACAAGGAATTAATATTTTTTTCAGGCACCATTCACCAAGACTAACCATATCATGGGCCATAAAACAAACTTTAACAAATTTATCAGAATTGAAATCATGCAGAGTGTGTTCTTTGAGCACAGTGGAATCATGTAGAAGTCAATTATATAAATACAGCAGGAAAATCTCCAAACACTTGGAAACTAAATAATATACTTCTAAATTTTCCATGGGTCAAAGGTTAAATCTCAAAGGATATAAAAAAGTACATAGACCTGACTGAAAATGAAAGTACAACACATCAACATCTGTGGGATTCAGGCAAAGCATTACTGAGAGGGAGATTTATAAAACTAAGTGATTATATTAGGAAAGAGGAAAGATCGCAGATCAACAATCTAAGTTCCCACCTCAAAAACCTGGAAAGAGAAGAGCAAAATAAACCTAACACAAGCAGAAGGAAGGAGAAAGTAAAGATAAGAGCAGAAATTAATGAAATTGAAATCAGAAAAATAATAGAGAAACTTAATGAAACCTAACACTCATTATTTGGGGGAAAAATCAATAAAATTGATAAACCTCCAGAAAAACTGATAAAGATTAAGAAAGAGATGACATAAACCATTAATATCAGAGCTGAAATGAGAGACTATCGCTACAGAATCTGCAGACATTAAAAGGATAATAAAGAAAAACTGTAAACAACTTTATTCTCTAAATTTGACAACTTGGAGGAAATGGACCAATTTCTCAAAAACCACAAACTACCAAAATGTGACAAAGATGAAATAAACAATCCCAAACTTCTATAACCATTAAAGACACTGAATTCACCATAAATAATCTCCCCAAAAAGAATCCCCAGGCCCACCTGGTTTCACTGGAGCATTCTACCAAACACTTAAAGAAAAATTAACACAGATTTTACAATCTCTTCCAAAAATAGAAGAAGGAAAACTTTCTAACTCACCTAGGCAAGTATTACCCTGATGCTAAAACCAGGCAAAGATGATATCAAAAGAGAAAGCAACAGATACCTCTAATAAACTTAGATGCAGAAATTCTCAATAAAATATTAGCAAATAAAATGCACCAGTGTATTAAAAGAATTATATATCATGACCAATGGGATTTATTCCAGGTATGCAAGACCTGCTTACTATTGGGAAATCGGTCTCTGTAACCCACCTATTAACAGGCTAAAGTAGATTATCATGTGACCGGATCAGTTGATGGAGAAACAGCATTTTAAGAATATACCTATTCCTAGTAAAATTTCTCCACAAACAAGGAAAGAGAGGTAACTTTCTCAACTTGATACAGAGCATGTACAAAAAACGTAGAGCTAACATCATGCTTAATGAGGAAAGACTGAATGTTTTTCCCCTAAGATTAGAAACAAGAGAAATATGTCATCTCTCACCACTCTTATTCAACACAGTATTGGAATTTTAGCTAAATTGGCAAGGCAAGAAAAAGAATGAAAGTATGCAGATTAGAAAGGAAGAAATTATGAATCACCGCAAGTCTTTTTCTGGGAGAAAGTGCCAATAAATGGCTGTACATTATTTAGAGAATGCAAATTAAAACCACAATGACATCACCATGCACTTATAAGAATATTTAAATTAAAAAATAGTAATAATGCTGAATGCTGGCAAGGATGCAGAGAAACTGGATCACACATATTTTTGATGAGACTATAAGATTTTACAGCTACTCTAAAATAGTTTGGCTGTTTTTTATAAAATAAAACATGCATTCGCCATATGATCCAACAGTTGCACTCCTGAACATTTATATCAGAGAAATGAAAACTCATGTCCATACAAAAACAGGCACATGAATGTTCATAGACCTTTATTTGCAATAGCTAAGAACTGAAAACAACCCAAATTCCCTTCAGTGGATGAATAAACTGTGGTACATTATATCATGGAACAATACTGAGCAAATATAAAGAAAGAATTACTGATAACTCACAACAGGTTGGATGGACCTCCAGAGTATTCTTATGTTAGGTGAAAAAAAAAATAGTCTGAATAGGCTAACCATGGTACATCCATACAATAGAATATTATTCAGCAATAAGAAGAAATGGAGCTTCTAGACATGAAAAGACATGGAGAAACCTTAAAAGCATATCCACTAAGTGAAAGAAGCCAATCTAAAAAGGCTATGTACTGTGGTACCAACTATATGACATTCTGGAAAAGGTAAAACTATGGATACAGCAAAAACATCAGTGGGAAATTTCCAGGGGTCAGGGGAAAGGGAGAGCTGAATAGATGGAGCACAGGTAGTCTTTATGGTAAAGAAACTATTTTGTATGATACTAAAATGGTGGGTACATGTCATTATATATATTTTAAAACTCAGAATGTACAACACCAAGACTGAATCCCAATGCAATCTATGGACTTTGTTACAAATATATCAATACTGACTCATCAATTGTAATAGATGTACCAGGCTAATGCAAGATAATAATAATAGGAGAAACTGGGGCGGGGCGGGGAGGGGATATATGGGAACTTTCTGTACTTTCTGCTCATGTTCTATAAACATACAACTGCTCAAAAAATAGTGTATTCAGAAGGCCAATCTCAAACAATCATATACTATATAAGTCCACTTGTATAACATTCTTGAAATGATACAGGAATGGAGAGGAGAGAAGTGGTTGCCAGGGATTAGAAAGGTGGGGGGTGAAATGTGTGTTAAGAAAGGTGGTTTGGGCTATAAAACAGTAGTAGGAGGATTTTAATGATGTAACTATGTAACCGTGGAGATGGTTACATGAATTCACACATCTGGTAAAATTGAGTAGAACTGCACACATCCATTATTGCACATCGAACTGGTGAAATCTGAACAAGGTGAGTGGATTGTATCAATGTCAGTTTCCTGGTTGTCCTATTGTACTGTGGTTATGCATGATATTACCGCTGGGGGAATGGCCAAGGGGGCACAGGATCTCTATTTGTTCTTACAATTGCGTATGAATCTGAAATTATCTCAAAATAAAAAAATTTAAAAAGCTTAATTTAATGCTTTCAGTAGGTTGTTCTCACTATATCTAAAGGAGGGCATAGTTTTTCATATTATCTAATTTTGTTTCCTTTCAGTCTATACATATTGATACCACTTTATATACTGAAAGCGATGCTCATGTGAGTATAGTTTATTTTTTTGAAAATTGCTATATTTTCCAGTTTCAAAAGTTGAAGAAGTATATATTCATAAATTTACTGAAGGATGTGTTGTTTTTAAATCTAACTTTCCGTGTGTTCTGACAACATATGATCAATGAATTTTGTAGGTAACTGTTGAGGTTGTGGGACTTGGGGGCAGAGAACTACAAAGATGCTATTTTCATAATGGTACCAAATCAAAATCTGAAACAGCCTTTTCCATCAATGTCAAACAAAATATATTATATATTTTGTGATGCAATTAGATCATCATGCAATTAAATGCAAAAATCAGGTTAACTGATTCAATTTAAAACTATCCACCATATCTGTTGTTTCCAGTGCTGTAGTGTATTACCACCCTTAATCAAATTTTCTACAAATCGCTTAAATGCATTCATGTTCTACATTTTGCATGAATCTCTATAATTGTCAGAAGAGGATTCTGTCTGGTTACCCTCTATGTGAGAAAAGAAATAAACAGAACTCATAAAACTTAACAGAATTCAAAAATGATCTTGAACTTGTCTCATTAATACCCTGACATTGCCGAAGGTGTGTAGGATTTTAGCCATATTGCTGGTCCTTCTCTCTGGATTGGCTACTAAAAACCAAGAAACAAATCCCTCACTTCTTCACGTTGTGGAAAACAAACTCTATGTTGTGTGCATGGAGAACCGTGAGTCCGCTCTCAGTTAGGACCTCTCTGAAATAGAAGATTTTGCTCCTACGAAGACTTTCTTAGCTTTGGGAGGAAGCCTTCATCATGAACTAGAAAAAAAAACAGATGTTCATCAGCCACTTGGCTAGTGCTGCTACACATAGAAATTGTCTGCCTCTTCGGCTTCAGCATGCCTTCCATTTTTCCAAAGTAGAGTGCAGTCAATTAACCCCCCAAACTCAGCATCCTGAGATTGCTTTTTTTTTTTTTGCAAGAAGATAACCTTGTAACTCACGGGTTACAGAAAGAAGCTGAGGTTGAAATTTAGGTTTAAACTCTGGTTCAGCCCCTACCTAGCTGTGTTACCTTGCAAGTCACTAAGCATGTCTGACCCTGTTTTGCTTATTTATTATTTTCTCTATCTATCTATCTATCTATCTATCTATCTATCTATCTATCTATCATCTATCTATGTGGGGACAGTATTTACCCTTCAATCCTGAGCAGCTGCTGTGGGACACGGGCATATTGCCAGTGCCAGACACATAGGTGGTTTCCTTCCTTCCTTCGTCCATTCAGTAAGCATTTGTGGAGTGCCGGCTGGGTCCCAGGCACTGTGCAAGGCAATGAGAACAGAAAGTCAAGTCGTGGTCAAACCTCCAGATATTCATCAATGCTTCTTTTAAGTTTAGGCTTTTGTTCAATGAACCGTTGTGGGAAACATACTTCTGCGGCATCTGAAAGATCCCTTTCTGGTTTGGCCAGCCCGTGAGTGGGCAATACTCCTACACTGATTTTTCTTTTTTTTTAAGATTTTACTGAATTATTTGACAGAGAGAGACACAGCGAGAGAGGGAACACAAGCAGGGGGAGTGGGAGAGGGAGAAGCAGGCTTCCCGCGGAGCAGGGAGCCCAATGTGGGGCTCGATCCCAGGACCCTGGGATCATGACCTGAGCTGAAGGCAGACGTTTAACGACTGAGCCACCCAGGCGCCCCGATTTTTCTAATACATTTCTTGGAATCACTTTTGCCTCTGGAACTTTGGAACTTGCAGAAATAGCACCATCAGCAGCTATCACTGTTTAAAATGTTAACAACACAATCTGATTCTAAAAATTCTTTCAGTGCACACTATCCATACTAATGTTTTGAGAGAGTCTCAGGCTGGTATTAGCACCCTTTTACAAAGAGGAAATGTTCTCAGTGAGAAAAAGTGGCCTATTATTTCCATGTTTTCTAAATTTATGTTCACTCTTCTGTGTAATATTACCATCCTCTTAGATTGTTTCGTTGTCAGTTTGTTTGGGTTTGATTTCAAAGCCAAAAAAGAAAGAAAAAAAAAAAAGCTGTCTCCTATGTAAAACTTCTTGGGGGTGTTGTGTTTCTTTATAAAATATTTGGATTGAGTTTTTAAAAAATCATAATTACATCTATGTAAGCATGCATAATGGAAAGGTCATTTTTTTTTTTTCAAAATGATTCTCTGTGACTCTTATTTTTAGCCCAGTTGCAAAGTAACAGCGATGAAGTGCTTTCTCCTGGAGTTACGTGTTATTTTGCTTGAGTCCAAACATCATCTCCTTAATGAAACAGTAGAGAACCTTATCATCCTAGCAAATGATGGTTTATCTTCCAGTGGGGTGAGTTTTCCAATAGTCAGACGGAGCTTTGTCTGATGCTCTCGGCTTGGGTGGGAGAAGGCATTAGCTGGGTATAAGGAACAAGCAGCTCTCGGGAGAGGGAGTTCATGTCTGCGGAGTGGCCCCACCACTAGGGTGCGCATAATCCTAAACCGGTTTATCAATTTATTCATTCAACAAACATGCCCTGCATGACGCCAGGCGGTGCACTTTGGTGCGAGAGTGATAGTGGTGAACCAGGGAGGTCATTGCCCTCAAGGTGTTCCTCCCCAGGTGCAGTGCAGAGCCATGAATCTAATGACATAGTTAAGTGTTTAGCGTCAGGAATAGCAATTCGCATTTATTCGGTTATTACTCTATGCCAGACAACACCGTTCTTCAGCGGTGATGTGGCAATTCCTTGCGTCCTCACAATAAATCTGTGAGATAGTTATCGTGTGTCTGTTTTAAGGCTGAAGAAATTGGAGCACTAAGGGCTTGAAATCACTTCCTCCAATTTGCACAGCTGGTAAAATGGGGAGCCAGGATTCATACCCAAGCAGTTTCACTTCGGGGGATGTCTTCTTCTTATCCCCTGGCAGGACAAATGCCTCAAAAAGTTAATAATAAACATATTAATAATTCAAGTAGAATTTGGGCCACGCCAGGCACCACGAGCAGTACGGTTGCGGGGGGAGCAAATGCGAGGAGCGCCCACAGCGGGCGTGGGGATGAGCTGTTCAGAGGCCCTCAAGTAAAAAGCGTGATAGCTTTCCCAGCACAACACCAGGGGCTAAAGTAGAGTGGAGAGAAAAGTTTTATGAACAAAGAAGGCATAAGAATAATTCATTAATTTAACAAACACTTTGTGAGCCTCGTTGTAGGCCCTCGGGAAAACAGACGTGAAAAAATACACTTGGTCTCTGCTCTTAAGGGACTTAAATAAACCATAAAATAAAGCATAAACAAAGCAATCAGAAGGAAATGAATAATAATAACTCAGTTATTTATTAATTCCAGTGGCCTAAAAGAAGATAGGTAAGAGGGCTAGGATTCCACTTTAGACATTTACCTACTAAGCTGACATTTGGCCAGGACAAGAGGGAATGAGCCTTGTCTCCGGGGAAGGATGTTGAGGCAGAGGCGACCGAAAGTGCAGAGCCCCTGAGCTAGGATGGCTGGACGCCGTGGACTTGCCCAAAAAATGCCAGGTTGCTTTAGGTCTTTGCTGAAATGTCACCTTCTCAGTGATGGCAGCTCTTCACATTGCAGTCCCTTCCCACACCCTGTCCTCTTGTCTGCATGCCCCACTAGCTGATGTTTTCCTGAATGGCTTTTGTCTGCTTTTCCCTACTCAAATGCCAGTTTCAAAGAGGCAGTTATTTTTGTGTTTGTGTGTGTGTGTGTGTGTGTGTGTGTTTTCTTCAGTGCTGTATCCCAACTCCCCAAACATTGCCTGGCATATTCTAGACAATGTATTTATGAAATGAACATACTGATGTTTAAAATACTCTTGTGATATGTTATTTCTATGTTATTGGTAGAAAGGCTGAGCCAGGCAACAGATAACTCCTAACAACATCCCTGGTGAACTCTTTTTTTTAAAAAATTTTTTATTGTTATGTTAATCACCATACATTACATCATTAGTTTTTGATGTAGTGTTCCATGATTCATTGTTTGTGCATAACACCCAGTGCTCCATGCAGAACGTGCCCTCTTTAATACCCATCACCAGGCTAACCCATCCTCCCACCCCCCTCCCCTCTAGAACCTTCAGTTTGTTTTTCAGAGTCCATCGTCTCTCATGGTTCATCTCCCCCTCTGATTTCCCCCCCTTCATTCTTCCTCTCCTGCTATCTTCTTCTTTTTTTTTTTCTTAACATATATTGCAATATTTGTTTCAGAGGTACAGATCTGTGATTCAACAGTCTTGCACAATTCACAGCACTCACCATAGCACATACCCTCCCCAATGTCTATCACCCAGCCACCCCATCCCTCCCACCCCACCCCCCACTCCAGCAACCCTCAGTTTGTTTCCTGAGATTAAGAATTCCTCATATCAGTGAGGTCATATGATACATGTCTTTCTCTGATTGACTTATTTCGCTCAGCATAACACCCTCCAGTTCCATCCACATCATTGCAAATGGTAAGATCTCATTCCTTTTGATGGCTGCATAATATTCCATTGTATATATATACCACATCTTTCCTGGTGAACTCTTGATGCCCATGGTCACAGTCACTGTGACTGTGATGTGGTGTGTTCAGCACATCTAATGGAAGGAGCGGGCAGGCTGCACAGTCAGAGAATTTCATTGATTATGTCAACTGAGATGCATCATGTAATATCTCTGCCTTGCTGGTTGACATGATTATTTTCAAGGAGGACAGTTCTATATGGAATATGACAGTGCCTGGCATAGAGGATGTGCTTGATAAATGTTGGTGAATCTGAATTTCAAATGCTTAATGGATGTAAAATCTAATTTTGATTTTTGCTGGTATGGCTTGCATGGTTCAGATGATCTCTTAAATAGTTTATTGGTGATGACTACATTTGGAAGATTCTAGTTATCCATGAAATGGTGTTTGAATTACAACTTGTAGTCTTCATCTAAATAGTTCAATTCAACCGGTAACGACTAGGTGACTCCCGTGTGCTAGGCCCTGTGCTAAATGCTGGGGAAACAAAGATGTGTGGCTTTGCACTCTTAGAAAAGCCTAGAGAATAATAGCATAAAAAGCGTGAAACTCCCTAATATCAATATAATATATGATGTGATAGGAGGGAGGTCTGAGAATGTGGAGATGGAACATTTAGAGGAACTCCTCGGTTCAGGAATGCCTTCCTGGTGGAGATAGCACCTGAGCGATCTTAACCTGAGTAGTGGTAGCTACAACGGCAATGAGGAACCTGCAGAGAGAAAAGTCAACACGGGAGGGTAGCTAATAGCATGATGTGTGCATGGGGGTAAAGGCATGAGCTCAGTGTACTTAGGCTATGTCCTTTGAGGTGGTGGGGACAGGTGAAAGAAACAGGTGAGGATCACTTCAAGGCCCCTGTGTGCCATGCAGGGAGGCATGGACTTGATGCTAGGGTAGACGACCAGAAGGGTAAATGACCACTCAAGGGCGGTAAGCAGGAAGTCCATGATCTGATAGACATGGCTTATTTTTCCAGTGTCTTTAACCTATTATAGGAAAAATAAGCCTAAATCAAATCTCCCAGTTCTCTTTTCCAGTGGTTCTTCCTACTATGATATTAATTTGCCAAAGTTTTCATGTCTTAAGACCTCACCATATGGTTCAAATGATGTGATATTCCCAGGAAAGAGATACAGCAGACTTTCAATCTAATCCTTTCTTTTTATTTGGCAGAATGTAACTGAAACGGGATGCAAAGAATGTGAGGAACTGGAGGAGAAAAATATTAAAGAATTTTTTCGGAGTTTTGTACATATTGTACAAATGTTCATCAACTCTTCTTGATTGTAATTGATCCTCTTCAGCATTTCTGCTATTAACAAACATCTTCCCATGGCTTAAAGGCAATGAAACTCTCTGCAGTTCACATGGGCTGCCCAAACCAATTTTTCTAACAAGAGGATGATCCGGAATTTTGGATCGGATGAACTCTTGGAAATGAAGGCAGAAAAATGGCATTGAGTAACATGGTGTCTATGAACTGTCCTCATAATTATTTTGTTCACTTATTCTTAATTTATTATTGAAGTTGTACATATTTGTAGCATAATATAAAATATTGAATAAAATTGTGTACCTACTTTATCCTTTGAAATTGCACTGATACTTACCCCTTTAAGGAAATAGGGGACATTCCTTCAAGGGCAGGAGTCAAATTACACAGCTGGCGGGGCTGAGCACCACTGGGCAGGTCAACTGTGTGCTCCAGCCAGTCAGGAACTGCTAACCACCAGCCTTCACTCACTTCTCCAGTGGGTGTCCCACAAGGAGGAAGAATTGACTCCCAATGAGAAAGGAGAAATAGGTGTGAAACGGGTGCTTTACTCTGTAGCATAGTTATTGATATCAAAAGCATCTGTTACCAAAGACAGTGCATGAACCTGGCATGTACTACGCATCAGTGAGTCTTAGGTGGGAGTGACAATAATAAACCTTCACTGATAGGTAGAATCGTGTATGGAGAACTCGTGATTGTAATGATGTTAATATTTCCATGCTTTCCCGAGTGCAGGTGTTCACATTTTTTTTTGCTACTTTTGTATAATAAAAAAAACTGCTGATTTGTTAGAGCCAACATTATCTGATAAAAAGTAATTGTTTATATATTTTTGCACTATACTGTCTGAAATTTCCAAGCTCTTTTTTAATAAAAGTCTGACTAAGGTGAAATATTTTTGTCTCCTCATAACTTCTTTCACCCAACTCACTTCTGGCATTCTTCACTCGAGGGGCTACAGGGTAGGAGTTGATGTCCTGCGAATTCGATTTCACTCCATTTCACAATACGAACCAGTTCTCTATCGAAACATTCTTTTATCCCCCAGTACCCAGTCCATGCTCATGTGTCTCATTGCTCTAGTCAATGTATGCTTAAACATTTCTTTCAAGATAGTTTTGGAGAAATCTGTATCCTATTTGACTTCCGAAGAGTCACGTGTCGGCTATCAGTTTGTTCCCTGACATCAGTCCAGACAAATAGTGTTTGACAGCCACACTTTAAAGTTTAAGGATTGAAATTGTGACAAGGTGTTTCGTTTGCTCATTTGTTTTAATTTCATCGAAATGTATTTTTAAAAATCTACCTTTCATTTTCTCCCCCCTAGCTTTTCTATGGATGGAGATTAGGAAAAACGCACCATTTTTAACTGTAAATTGCCAATCCAATCCTTAGACAGAAGTTAGCCTCCTTCCAGTGTTTGTTGGGATGGGAGAGGGAAATCATAATGGCAGTCACATCACCAATAATCTTTTATGGTGACCAATGACCCATTCTGGCTATATAAGCACACAGTGGGTTTAAAGTTTGGCATTTTCCAGTGCTCAAAATTGGGATTCCTTCCACATTAGTTACTTAGTATGGGTCTTCAGTTAATCGTAAGGAACTCAAGGCATAGAGGTACAGCTCTCAAAACATTCTTAGCTAACTTAAGAAAAGAACTAATTATGTAAAACAACCTAAGTTTTATTGTTCAGGCCTGAATTCTTTTTTTTTTTTTAAGATTTATTTTTTTATTCTTTTATTTGACAGAGAAAGATACAGCGAGAGCAGGAGCACAAGCAGGAGGAGTGGGAGAGGGAGAAGCAGGCTTCCTGCCGAGCAGGGAGCCCAATGCGGGGCTCAATCCCAGGACCCTGGGACCATGACCTGAGCCGAGGGAGATGCTTAAGGACTGAGCCACCCAGGCACCCCCAGGCCTGAATTCTTAACAAGATCAGTTTTTCATTTCTGTTTCAAAGGTTTTCCTTCTCGAACTGTCCTCCTTAGTTAGCCAGCCCGATGTTATTTGTGTAGTTTAGAATACGTTGTTTTTATCTCACCTATTGCCCTAAATGCTGGAAGCATTTGCCTTATGTTACATATAATAAAGTAAGCACAAATCCATAGACTTAGAAGCTCAAATAGTAAAGGCAAGCCTGATAAAAATTAGGTTTACAGTCTGGAGTCATTTTGATGGATTATATTCTTACTCTTTAAAATTTCAAATGAAGAAAAAGATATATGAGAGAATATCCTTTCTACACTCTCCCTGGCAATAAGCAAAAAAAGGGTTAGAAGGCAGAGGACATGGAAATGCAAACTGAACCAATACATAATTTGTGAGCCAGAGATTATTAAAACCCAATCACAAGCCTAGTTTTACATACTCTCATTTTTTACCTTAGAACAGAGAATTGATGGAATTCTTTTCTTTTGCTGCTTTTATTCCTGTTGTGAGAGGGGCTTATTATGTGTTTCTCTATGTGTTACTCTTTCTGTCCATCAAATTTAAAGGCTCATAAAGTCAAACCAACATACGTAACATGAAAACCAAGCACGTGATCGATCCCTTCCCCTCCACCCAGAAATACTAGAGAAAGCATTTTATTCCTTCATCTGTGTTATCTCAGGCTTAGTGTAAGTTCTCTGCATTCACATGTGAGTCACAGTGAACATATGCATGTCATGTATAAATATTCTGCCCAGAGGAAATCCCATTTCCATAGAGATTTAGTTCAATGCTTCTGAATGTTTCTGATGATTGAATTTTATTTTCACTAAGGAATTTATTATGCAAGGCAAACTTTAGCTTCATTGAAAAGTCCCCTAATTGTATAATCTATCTGATGCAACAGAGAAGAAAAATTAATGAATCGTTAATAAGAGTCATGATTTTGTCCTTGGTAAAAAACAAACGGAGACCAGCCTTGAAAATTCCCTGAGCAGACAAAATCAGTTTAGTCATACAAACAAACACTAATTTAGCTTATTTTGCAAGACTAACCTGACTGGGTCATTTCTTGCTTATGCGTCTGAAAACCATAAGCAAAACCTAAACTGTTTCCCAAGATGGATATGAGGTAACCATTGACCAATTCCTTTTCATTTAAGAAAATTCTAATGTAACCAATCACTGTGAAGAATAAATCGTCACTGCTCTCTCACCTTTAAAGCTGCTACTCCGTAACAATATACCCCTGAGCTGCCTTCCATCTTTTGATTTGGATGCTTCTGGTTTGCAGACTGCCTTTTTGGTGTGTGCACAATAAACTTTCACTAATTACTACTTCAGTGATTGACTGGTTTTATTTTTCTGTATTTCTAAATTTATTTTACCTCTTTATTTTTTTTAAAAGATTTTATTTATTTGACAGAGAAAGACACAGCGAGAGAGGGAACACAAGCAGGGGGAGTGGGAGAGGGAGAAGCAGATTCCCCACTGAGCAAGGAGCCCAGTGCAGGGCTCGATCCCAGGACCCCGGGATCATGACCTGAGCCAAAGGCAGACGCTTAATGACGGAGCCACCCAGGCGCCCCTATTTTACCTCTTTAATCCTGGATTTCAAAATCAGTTAACCACTAGAGGAACTGAAGTGGAAATTGTTACACAGATGTCAAATTGAAAATTGTACATTGAGTTTTTACGAGCTGTGTCAACACTTTCGGAATATTTTCAGAAGATGCAGTGTCACCCTAAAAGTGATATGTCTTCATCATCCTCACTCTCGTTAAGGAAGTCACTCCTTCAGCCATATCGTAACCTGGTTTATTGAAAGCCAACTGTGTGCGAACATGATGGCGGCTACTGCAGTTACAAGTGTGAGGAAGGCATCCGTAGGTTCGGCCCTCATGGGGTTGACATTCCAGGAGGAGAATCCTGTTATCCCATTAACCACTCGTGTGCTTATTTGGTTACCAGTTCTATGAAGGGCACCAGGTGAGCATATGAAGGAAGCAGCCGATCCTTCCAAGCTGTCAGAGCTTCTTTCAAACAGTGGTGTCTGAGCTCTGCTATAAATTATAAAGACTGATTGCGGGGGGCGGGGGGATCCATCTGAGAAACATCCTGCCAAAATCTTCAGTAAGGAAGGATTAGAGCACGTTCAAAGAGAGGAAGAAAGGCCAGAGTGGCTAGGGTCAGAGAAAGCAATGGAAGAAGCTGGTAAGATAAGTATCAGCTGGTCTTATAGGCCAGGTAAGGATATTGGTGGTAAAAATTTTGCTTTATATTCCAAAAGAGGCTCTTACTCTGACATGTGTGAAAAATACAGCAGGCTTTGTTTCTGCTGTTGAGAAAAGAGTCAAAGTCAAAATCCCCTTGCCTCTAAATCCTGGGATAATAAAAGTATTTCTAATAACAGCATCTTATATGGACGTCATTATTGGAGTCATTTTAATGAACTCCTTGCAACACTTAATGGAGACTAACTTTGGCAAGTAATTATTCATTCACTGTCAAATGCAACAAACCTGTTTGCAGTATATATGACTTGACGTCAGGATTAACATGTAAATCCAGTTTTGGGTTCTGAGGCCTGCCAGAATTGATCCGTGGTCCAAATCTTTCCACCAGGAAGTCTTTTTTTTTTTTTTCACATAAGGAAGCATTTATTTGAGGTTTAACATGGAATCATACAGATAAAATTTGTATAAACACAAATCCACATCGAGTCATAACACAGATAGCAAAAGACAAAGTAAAAACAAAGAAAACTAATTGGCAGCTATATACCATTGGACACAGTTGTGTCTTGTACACTAGAAAGTCTTTTACAAAATAATCATCTTAGATCAACAGAAGACCAATCTTCAATGTCGTCCTGCAAGATGGGTTAACTTTAGCAATCTCCTCCTGTTTTCTCCAACGTCCTCCTTTAGTATGGCTGGTAATTGTTTTGGTGATTGCCACCCCCTCGAGACGCCTTGCCATAAGTGCTCTGTTGGCCACTGTAGTCTGCATATCCCTGTCCATATCCATAGTCCCCATAGTTATACCCAGTATAATCATAGCCGCCATAGCTCTATAGTTTTGATCACCACCATAGGCACTATTGTAATTTCCATATCCTTGATCATAATAGTTATTAAATCCGTGGTTCCAGTTTTGGCCCTGACCTCGTCCACGACCCCTAGTACCAACCTCGTCCACCAGCTGCAGCACCTCTTCCTCCTTTTTGTTGTTGCTGTTGCTGCCCGTATACCTCTTTGGGTTGTGCAACTTTGATTTCACACTTCCCAGAACCAATTTGATGGTATCGGCTTTCTAACAATTTCTTTACTGGCTCTTCGTCTGTATATGTGATAAAACAAAATCCTCTTCTGTCATTTGTTTTTGTATCCATGGGAAGTTCAATATTTTCAATCTCTCCAAAGGCTCCAAAATATTCTTTAATTTGTTCTTCAGAAGTATCTGGGCTCAATCCACCCACAAAAACCTTTTGGGGAGGTTCTTTCCCTTTTAAAGCTTTGGCCCTTTTGGGGTCTATCAATTTGCCATCCAATTTGTGTTCTTTCAGTTCCAAAACCTTATCAACACTAGCAGCATCTTTGAAAAGCACAAATCCAAATCCTCTTGATCTTCCAGTCACTGGATCTGTTTTAACTGTACAGTCTACAACTTGCCCAAATCGAGACAAATATTCAGTCAGATCTTTCTTGCTTGTATCCCAGCTCAAGCCTCCAATCAACATTTTACCGTCATCCTGCTGATTCTTGCTCGCGTTGATCTTGGATCCCTCTGCGAATTCTTCTATGTTGCTGTACTCGTTCATATCCTCCATGGTGGCAGAGTTGTCGGCCGTGTGGTGCTGGCGCGGAGTCCGGGTCGCGGCCGCAGCGGCGGCGGAGCGTTGTATGGAGCTGGATTTAAAATGGTGGCCCCACCAGGAAGTCTTTTTGAAAAAAGGATTTT